CACACACACACACACACACACACACACACACACACACACACCTTGCCATAAGCTCCTTTTCCCAGCACAGTAAGAAGCTCAAAGCAGTCCGGTCCCACCCTCTCACTGTCTCTGTTGACACTTTCACTGGTCAACTCCACCTCCTCTGTCTGCACACTGGGAGAAACGGGACACAGGAAAATAGCAGTATTGGTATGAATACCTGCATACCAGAGCATTTTTGCTTAATTTAACGGTAAACTAAACTTACTTCTCTGGTTCTATCACAGTGAAGTCACAGACATCATCCTACAGATGGGGAACAGCAAGTCAGTAAGGTTAAACAAAGTTATAAGTCAGTCCATTTCTTCCTTCTTAAATCGTAAACTGTCCTTTAAAAACACAAGATGTATTCCACATTATATAATTCCTGTGTTTGGGGAAACAAACAACCTGTGATGAGGCAAAGGAATGGTTTTCTCATTCCTGGTTACTTCAGGGAACTGATCAGCAGTAGTCTTATACAGGGATACAGACCTCTGTGTCACTGATGTCCTCAGTCTCCAAGTCTATGTCGAACATTCCTGCCATCCTGAAACAGAGATAGTTCAATCAATATCTGCTACACAATTCTAACTATGAAAAACTCTATTTCAGATATCTATGATCCAGTTGTTCCTAGTCATCATTTAAACTTCAGATATCCCCAAAAAAACCATAACCAATATCCATTTAAATTTTGAATATCCAAAATATATTACCGAGTTAAAATGTTACGTAAATCGACAATTGCCATGCAAAACAGCAGTTTCAGATATCTACCATTAGAATAATGACTACAAACAATACAATTGCAGATATCCCTAAATACACAATGATCTCTGTTCTGGATACCCGAAAAGATGATAATATGCCAAATGGCTCACTTAAGTTATGAATAGTAAAAATGTGGAACATAGATGTGTTCCTAGTAAAAATTATATTGCGGATAGATATTTCAAAAAACTATATTGTGGATATCTGAAATGTTCATTTTGAACTACAATAGTCTAGCTATTTAATGATAAAACAGCCACTTGTACTTTTTAAGGAGTTAAAGGCATCTTGAATTTCAGTTGACGAGTACAAAAACATATTTGAATGATCTAAAATGTAATTACAGATTGCTTGCCATATGGGCTCGTCAGCACTTTCATCCCAATGAGGAAAGCAGCATCTCTGTCCATGAAACGCGCACGTGACGTCTCTGGGCTAAATAACAGACCCGTGACTCGTTGTACACGTACAGTTACGACAAAAGCTAGCTTTTACACTACAGGTCATAGGTCAGTAAGCGTGTAGCTTAGTCTCATTTCTTATACTTGGCCCACCCAAAACCTGACGTTAGCCTAGCCACCACCACTGTGATTGATCACAAGTGAGTGGTATTATTAGAAGCTGAAATAAGTTAAAGGCGCCTCAGAATGCTTTACGTGGCAGCTTAACCTCTCACGTTAGCATGCTAATCAGGTGCAAACAAAGCAACATGTGAGTGAAACTTCCATCACAGCAAATGTTTCATTGGACTAAACTTACATACAATTAGACTGAGCATTTGTTAGGTCGCCTCTTTTTTATGCAAAATCAGCCACTGGTTAAAACTGTCTGACAACAGTAAAGATAAGCTAACATCACGTTGACAGCTAGCACGCTTACGAACATGCTAACACTAAGCTAGCCACCTGAGAACTCTCCTTCTTCATCCGGTGGTTCCTTATCTCAGTCCGCAGTTCGATAGTTTAAACGCCAATTCCTTTCTATACACAAACAGCTGTGACCGCCATTGCTCCTGTTATCCTTTTGACAACTAACCAGCAACAACACACAGAGCTGTTCGGGTTCCCTTCATTCTCCTCAGTGCAGCATGAACGGGATGTTGTTGCTGACTGAACCTTCACCCTGCTGCGTCATCAGCGGTACTGAAAGAACAGACTGGAACAGCTGGTGATAATCACAATAATGATGTCGATACTAAGTCTGCTATATATAATATTACATTCATAATTAAAATACAATCAAACTACAATAATGGTAATAATAATAATCACATTAATAATACAAATAATAAAACAGCAAAATATAATATTAAGATTAAACATATTTGTTGTCAAAATGTATTATTTAGTAGTACAAGTAATATAATGTATATTTTCCATATATGAAATTCTAACTGAAGTAGTGATCAAGAACCTAACATAAATTACTTTTTGGCACCAGTTTATACAATTTTTAAGGATTTGTTTAACCAAATTACAAAAATACACAGACTTTCTCTTTAAACTCTACCTCCACGTATTGGGGTAGAGGCAGACATCTGAGACACAATCAAACTGGGTGAATACTGTAACACAACGGTCACGTGTTTTTTAGTTTGTTTGGCTTCAGTCACTCGGATGGCTGCGGCTATAGATTTAAATGTCTGTAACTGCACTCACAGACACCTTAGCTTTCTCTATACGTTTACAATTTGAAGTTCACTTTGTCTTCAGTTAGTTTACTTTGACTTTGTGCACAGCACACTCACATTGCACATGCATAAGGAAACAGATACATTATGACACATAGCTTTGGTTTCATACATCATACGTATAGTTTATTCAGTATTGTGGACAGTACATTAGTTTATATTTGTAATGTACACATTTAATTAACTTCTGTACAGTCACACCTGAGTTTGTCCTGAGTTGCCAATTAAGAAGTTGGCCTTAATTTGTTCTAATTTCTTGTTCTGTTGACTTATCATTGCTCAGGGTTCTACTGCTCATTGGGGAAAGACCATCTTGTCAGGCCTGAGCCTAAAGCAGAGCTGTTTCATACAGGAAGTGGTCAATTGGACTGGAGCAAGTACCCTCCACATCCTGGGGGAATGGGATTTCTATTTAAAATATATGTTTTATTTCTTTAGAGTATAGTTTATATAACACTATTATAGTTATAATTATATTATATATATATATAGTTTTATTTATTTCTGGATCTAAGGTTCTGCAATTGGTCAGAGCCTCCTTTCCAGCTGGCAAAAGCTTTCCCCTGGGAGGCTGAGCAGTTTGATACCCTGATAATTGGACCACATTCTCCAGTTCCCCTTTTTAAAAAATGGAAACCAACACCCACCTGCAAACTCTATGAAAAAAAGGTGAAGTGATAGAAGACTCAAGTTGGGTACAGGGGTTATGTTTGTGTTTTAATACGCAAAGGAAGGCTTTTGGAGCCTTTTGAGAGTGGAATAAAACAAGAAAACAACATCTTGTTTTGATAAACATATCAGTTTTATGGCATTTCGATTCTTTTAATCACTAAATGATCCAACAACAGGCAAGATTTACCACAGGATAAGCTGGCACTTAAGTAAAAGTACAAAAGTATTAGAATCTAAATAAAGTTAAAGGACCAAAAGTAAATGTTGTCATCATGCAGAATAGCCAATTTCAGAATAATATATATTATATTATTATCTCCGCCAAGAGAATCGTGCGATCATTCACGTGTGTGCCTCTGAAAGTGAGTGAGTGAATGAGTCAGTGACTCAGTGAGGGAGTGAATGTGCACCTCCGGGTCTGTCCACAGCTAATCTCACATTCTGCAGCAGCAAACTGAATAATATTTTGGATGGCCAGTTATGGCTGCATGTTCAAGGACCTCTCATGGTTGCAGTTACTCTGTGGGTGCTTTTCAATATGCTAACATGTCTTTCAAGTCCTTTCCTCGGAGGAGGAGAGGAAGAGACATGAGTCGAGGCAACAGGTGTGGATTTTATGGTCTCTTTGATATTTACGAAAAATTTAATTCACAATGTGGCATAACGAGACATTTTTATTTGACACACACTATATATCTATACATATTCAACGTTATTATTTATATAATAATTTGACGTCAGCAGCTGTTTGCACTTGTAAGGACCCTCTGCAATTTGCATACCAATTTGCATACCAGCCTCATGTGGGAGTGGACGATGCCATCATCTACCTGCTGCAACAAGCTCAGTCACACCTGGACGGATCCGGTGGCTCTGTGAGAATCACTTTCTTTGATTTCTCCAGTACATTCAACACCATCCAACCACTGCTGCTGAGTGAGAAGCTGCGGGTGGTGGGGGTAGACACGTCCACTGTCTCCTGGATCACTGACTACCTCACGGGCAGACCACAGTTTGTCCGACTGGGCAATGTGCTGTCTGATGGGGTGGTCAGTGATACTGGAGCCCCACAGGGAACTGTTCTGTCTCCCTTCTTGTTCACCTTGTACACCACTGACTTCCAGTACAACTCTGGGTCATGCCATCTGCAGAAGTTCTCTGATGACTCTGCAGTGGCCGGGTGTATAAGGGACGGACGAGAGGAGGAGTACAGGGCAGTAATGGATGACTTTGTGGAGTGGGCCGGTAGAAATCACCTGCTTCTGAACGTGGCCAAGACCAGAGAGATGGTGGTCGACTTCAGGAGGAGGACGACGGCTCTGGGAGTTCTGGGAGAGGATGTGGACATGCTGGAGGAGTACAAGTATCTGGATGTCTCCATCGACAGCAGACTGAACTGGAAGACCAACATCAACACTGTGTACAAGAAGGGGATGAGTCAACTCTTTTTCTTGAGGAAACTTTGATCCTTCAACGTGTGCAGCAAGATGTTGGAGATGTTCTACCATTCTGTTGTGGCCAGTGCACTGTACTTCGCCGTAGTCTGCTGGGGCAGCAGCATTGGAGCCGGAGACACCAACAGACTTAACAAACTAGTTAAGAAGGCCGGCTCCATCATTGGCTGCAAACTGGACAGTCTGGAAGAGGTGGTGGAGAGGAGGACACTGAAGAAATTATCCATATTGGATAACCCGGACCACCCTCTCCACCACCTACTGCAGGGACAGCGGAGCACTTTCTCCAACAGACTGATCCAGCTCCGTTGTCACAAGGACAGATTCAGAAAAACATTCCTGCCCACTGCAATAAGACTTTATAATAAAACACCTCTGGCCAGATCATCGTCCTTCACATGACTACAACAACGCTACACGGTTGTTGCTTGTTGTTGGTGATCCTTGCTCTACTGTCCAGTTTGTTTAGTTTACTAGTTGTTAATTGAATTAATACCACTCTATTCATTGTATATACTGTGCATTTCTATTTTTTATTGTATTTTATCTTATTTTTATTTTATTTTATTCTATTTTATCTTATTTTTATTAATCTATTCCGGCTCCCCAGGTGCCTGTCATTGGCAGCCCACTGCTCCCTATATACAGGGATGGGTCAAATGCAGAAGTCAAATTTCGTGTATGTGTATATGTATATGACAATAAAAAGGGTTTCTATTTCTATTTCTGTTTCTTTCTTTCAAATTCAATATCTGCTCTGTTATTTTATTGTACTGTATATATTGTGCATTCCATACATTATATTTTACTCTGTAAATTGCTGCTGCTACAATCTAATTTCCCCCTGGGGATGAATAAAGTTTATATCTATCTATCTATCCAAGCATCATGTCAGGATTATAGCAGTTGAATTGTAACCTATTTAATATAAAAGCATAAGTAATATCAGGTGAAATGTCATCAAGGAATGTGGATGTGTGATGAGGCGCTGCACAAACAGTGAGGGGCAGAAAGCTTGATCTCAATAACTACAACCTATGAATACAAATCTCAGCCGCTCCTGTTCTCCACAAGGTGCATGTAAGGGATCAGAAGATCCTCCATGATGCAGAGGGGGAACAATTTCAGGGGTCAAGAGAGTCTGGAGGACGCATGAAGCATTAGTTGGCATATTGAAAAGCATCCACACTTTCTCAAAACACCTTTAAATGCCTGTTTTATACTGCCACTGACTCCTCACTCACTACTCGTAACCGGCCCCCAGCCGGTAGAGGCCACTATTGATAACACAGCTGGGTGGAAAATAGTTTTCCCGACTGTTATGGTTTTGGACGGTGTTTGGCTAACAGCTAACGGAGCTACACACAGCTGACTGCAAGCCTAACTAAACGCTTCAAGTCCGTGAGATGGAGCTGAGATGCGTGCCTGCACAAAGTGGGTGCAGCCATCTGTCTTGATTAAAACCAGAGTGTACCTGTTGTGTGAGACGTGCAAGGGGAACAAAACAAGTCTTATACTTGCAGTCTACATGGGAGGTTAGCCAATTGTGGGTTGTATTCATTCAATCAAAGATTACAGCAGTGGTCACTCAGACAAAGATCTACACTCTACTGAGTGCAGCTTTCTAGTTGGATTATTATGTTAGTTTATTTAAATATATTTTATACATTACTTTAAAAACTGCTGGGTAGCTTGTGAACTTTTCCCTGGGGAGCAGTACATCCTTTCTGATATAATAATATCATAATTTATATACAGATTATATTTTATATTATATATTGAAACTGAAAATAAATGAAAGTGAAACAACATATAAGCAATTACATAGACAACACTAAAGATTAATTAAAAAATAAAACTATAAAACATCTTAAGCAAGAGATTGGCCAAAATATAGCATTTAACCGAACAGTTAGTTTAAAGATCTTCAGCTCCTCCTGGTCCGAATGCTTGAAGCTTGAAAAAAATGCTCTCACAACCAAACCTAAAGAGGATATATATAAAGAGAGTGGGCCTTCAGTGGAAACAGTGGTTTTGCAGCTAAAACGGAAGTCTGTGGTCTGTTAGACCATAATGTCACAGACATCAAGTACAGGAGAAAATAGTGATGTATAAAGATACGAAGAGATGAAGTCCCATTGGATAACAACCATTCTTGTTGGTGAGTAATAAATGCACCCCAGAGTACCATCATATTGGAAAGAAAGACAGAAAGTTACACTTTTCACTAGATGAAGGTCGAGTCAGACTCAGCGACTGATGATTACAATGACTGTCACACCTTGCTGTG